AACCTAGATATTTTAGGCAATATAGAAATCCTGGCCAGGACGCATACTGGGAAAATGGCACATATGGTCACCCTATTTAATGACAACAAGTTAATATGCAGTCAAAGTTTACAAATGTAGGACATTTAATTGGAGTCATTTCGAGTTTAATGGACTCGAACCAGCATCCCTGGGAGCAGTATGGCCCAGATATGTCTAGATCATATGAGCGAAACCACTGCACCAGAGATCCGAAAAGCTGCACATAAATCTTTTAATGGATGTGACATGGTTTAAGTTGTGGACCGGTAAGCCAAAGGTTGTGGGTTCAAACCCCAGAAAGTGCGATTAAGGAGCTCAATTCCGGATGAATGTAGTAAAATATGTACCGCGAGTCACTTTGGATAAGAACGTGTCTGTTAAATGAATAATGTTCTTGTCATGTGAAGTATTGACTCATGAGGGCTTTGTTTGACTTTGTACATATATCATGTGTAAGCCGTGCAGTTTGTCTTTTACTAATTTTCATGTATCATCTTTCTTCTCAGTCTATCCAGACCGCTGCAATATCAGCCTAGCGGCTGTGGGGGACACTCAGAAACACAGTGATCGCATTGCATTCTGGGACGATGTGTATGGCTTCAAGATGAGGTGTATGAAGAAGGCTGTGATACCAGAGGCAGTAGTGGAGATGTTGAAGCCTGAGACGGTCATTTCAGAGCCTGCAGTGGTTAAGGTGAGAGGAGAGACCGTAGTAGGGTTTTTCTAGAAAGGTCTGAAGGGAATTATCAGTGAACTGATTAGTTAATTCTGATTGTCCCCTTGGGGAGCGATGGCGTGTGCCATCTATCAAGATTCCAGTCTTTTGTGCTTGTGATGTTCCTCAAATCGAATTGGATAAAACCACGGTAAATGTAAATGAATATTTATTTAAAATAATTTCACAGTACAGTAGTCTAGATGAGTAGGGCTCCATACACTATTCTTCAAAAGTTTGGGATCTGTTAAAAAAAATTAAAATTAATACTTTTATTCACAAGGAAGCATTAAATTGTGACATTAAATACATTTATTATTTCTATTTAAAACAAATGCTGTTCTTTTGAACTTTCTAGTCATTAAAGAATCTGGAGTCAAGTTACCGTTATTTATATAGTGCTTTTAACAATGCAGATTGTGTCAAAGCATCTTTAGAGTATCAAATAGGAAAATAGTGTCAATGCAAAAAATTGTGTGTCAATGCAATAAATAAATAAATGAAAATATATCAGCTTCCACAAAAAATATTAAGCTTGACAATTTTTTCATATAATATTGATAAAAACAAATGTCCCTTGAGCAACAAATTAGCATGTTAAAATGATTTCTGAAGGATAATGAGATACTGAAGGCTGGAGCAATGGCTGCTGGAAACACAGCTTTGCATTACAGGAATAAATTACATTTTAAAATATATCAAAATAAAAAACAGTTATTTTAAATTGTAATAATATTT